CAAGGTTTACAATTTATTTCCTGGGAAAAGTGGTATCGGAGAAAATGTTTTTTAATCGAAATTGAAGGCATTTCCCAATAATTTTCCTGGTGGTCTAAAGTTTTGCGGCTCACTGGTCACCCTGGTTAAAATTTTAAATTTAACAGATATGTTTATTTTGTTAAAACTACTGTAGACTGTCTCAGTGCCAAGTACTCGATTTAAACATTTTGTTGATATTTTTAAATTTCACTCTGTTTTAGTAGTGAAAAAGTGACTTGAGTGACTAAAGGGTGTCCACGATGAAATTGCCACACACAAAATTGATTCGCAAAATTCGAGTTTTCATCCGATTGCCATCAAATTTTCAGGGATTGAGAAATAACTATTAAACTTCATTTTACCATTTTACTCGTATTTTATTTACAGTCCATACGCAAATGCCCGCACCTTGGCCTTAACCCCGGCCATAAGATTCTGCACAACCTGTGAATCAACCGTTTTTTGCATGTAAACCCATACTTTCTTCAGTTCCTCGACTGTCTTCACTACCTTAGGTCGTTTAAGAAGATGCTGCTTCATAATCGCCCAGTAGGGGAGAACAGTACATAACGCACCCCCGGGGTAAGACGCACTTTTTCATTTTATTTTGAGTTTTTCTTGGAATTTTTAATCCAATTCTAGGATTTATCATGCAGGATTTTGAGTTCAGATGCTATGCTAGAAGTGCTGCTTGATAAGATAACAAAAAAGTTACGTAAAAGCCATGAAAAACACAAATGAAAGTCAGCTGGTGCGTTCTGCCCAGGGGGTGCGTTGTATACCATTCTCCCCTACTTCTCGATGGGGCGGAGCTCCGGAGTGTTGGTAGGGTTGAACATTTTCGGCACGAAATTGACCTTATTGTCCGCATACCACTTCAGCACGTCCTTGGAGTAGTGGCATGAGGCCAAATCCGGCCAGAAGATTGTTGGGACGTTGTGGGCCTTCAGGAGAGGAAGCAGCCGCTTCTGGAGGCACTCTTTTATGTACACCTGTCCGTTCATCGTGTCCTGGGTCACGAAAGGTGCACTCCGCTTCCCGCACGTGCAGATGGCTTGCCAAACCAGGAATTTCTTCGCAAATTTGGACATCTTCTGAGTGCGGACATGCTCCGGAACGCTGAACTTATCCTTGGCCGTGAAAAACAGGTTGCCGGGGATCTGTTTGAAGTCGGCCTTCACATATGTTTCGTCGTCCATGATGCAGCATTCAACTTTCGTCAGCATGTTGAGGTACAACTTCCTGGCACGGGTTTTGGCGGACTTGTTCTGCTTCTCGTCGTGATTAGGGGCCTTTTGTACCTTGAACGTTCGAAGCCCAGCCTTAGTTTTGGCCTTCTGGACAAAACTTCGGCTTAGGTGCAGCTTCTTAGCCACATCCCTAACGGAGGCGTTCGGATTTCGGTTGAAGGCCCCAACTACGCGGTTGTGATTTTTGGTGTTGTACAGAATACTTTTTCCTTGACTTCTGGGCTTCCGATCGGTGGTCAACCGTTCCTCGAACCGCTTAATCACTCGCGACACCGTGGAATTCACGATTCCCAACGTTTTAGCGATGGAACGATGCGAGAGATCCTTGTTCTCGTGATGAATGCGCAAGATTTTATCACGCACGAGCTGTTCTTTCGACTCCATTTCTGCGAGTTTTGATCACAGGACTTTAAAACTTGCAGGATGTAAATAATGCACTATGAACTAAATCCACCCAAATTTTCATTAAATTCTACCCAACGGTTAAAAAGTTAGAGCAATTTCATAGTGTGGCAATTTCATCGTGGACGCCCTTTATTTTTAGGGAAATAGTGACTTTAGTGACTTTTTGGTGTAAAAAGTAGCTTCAAAATAGTGACCAAGTCACTAAAAAGAGACCTGCTACTAGTGAATCGAATATTCAAGATTTTTCGGTATTGTTTAGAGCTTGATTGACAGCGTTTGTATGAAGTTTGAGTACTTTTAGAAAAATGCTTCTTACTGAATTACTCTGTGTCAAATTTGTTATTTTTTGAAGGACAATGACATAAGTGAACTGTATTTTTCAAAAACTTAATGATTTTAATCGGATCAAAATTTTCTTAAATCTATTCACGACGAAAAAAGTTATATCAGCACGATTTTATTATAACTTCACAAGAGAATTGGCTAGCTGTGCAATTTAGTCATTTTAGTTTTTAAATTTGCGGTCAACTATTTTGAAAACAGGCAGTATTTTAATGTGTTGCTCTAAGTAAACCATCCATTTTGCTAAGTGGTGAATCACATATTTCATCGTGAATAGATTTTAGTAAATTTGACAAAAGCATTATGTTTTGGCTGCAAGTGAAAAAAAATACAGGTTATTTGGATCATTGTATTTCGAGAAATACAATTTGTAATAGGTAGTTCAGTTAGAAGCGTTTTACAAAAAACTGCTTGAACTGGAAACAAACTCAGCCAACCGAGCTCAGAACAATACCGATAACATGCATATTTGATTCATCAGCAACCAAAATTTCAGAAATTTTAACTGTTTAACTCGATTCCAAACTGATAGCGAGGCAAAACGCCTGATTCAACATTGGAGCAAGACGCACGTCAGCAATGGCCAAAACGAAACACAACATTGGGGTAAAATGCACCGCATTATAGAGACAAACCATAACCTACAAGTAGAAAAAACAAAGAAAGAAATGTTTCAAATGATTATTCGTTTAACGTTACATTAGAAATAAGGTCTCAATAGAGTGTTAAACTGACATTCATAAGGTAAAACATCTAAAAAACATACGATAAGCGAATTCGTTCCATTCTCTCACAATATATGCTGTTACAAGCGATGGTTTTAACAACTGTGTCATGTTTTGCACAAAATGTAATTTGTTTTATGGAATCAGTAGGTCAATATATGATCAAGAATTATTTGTGAAACCAAACACAATCTGTTACCCGGAAAATGCATTTCAGAGTTATTGTTTTTATCGCATTTTACCCAATTATGGGCTATTCTCCCTTATAAAGAAAGAAGGTTAGCTCCACCAAGTAAGCGATTCTACGCGTTGACTCTTGAAACTGACAATGATAGAACGAATTTGGCGAGAAACTGAGAGAATGTGAAACCATCTGTGTCTGTGTCACCTCCAATGATACAAAAGGGGGAAATTAATATGAAAAATGTACACCTCCAATTGTGCAAAAGGGACCAAATTCATATGAAAAACTTGCACCTCCAATTATGTATAACCAAAGGGAAAAAAATATATGAAAAATGTTCATCTAAAATTACGCAAACCAAAGGAAAATATTTATATGAAAAAAAAAATACAGGGGGACCAAAAGGAAACATTCATATCACAAAAAATTCACCTCCAATATTGAAAAGGGGGACCAAAGGGAAAAATCCTTATGAAAATGTTCTTGATGCTTGTTGTATCCTTTCCTGCTTTGCACAGGATCTGAAATGGAGGATATTCCCTAATAAATGACATCTGTTCTACCTAAACGATCGTAAAATGTAAGCTTGAATTTGTCTGGTACAAACATGCCACAGGTCGAAAATGATGGATGTTCTAACGATCACCGGAACCTAGCAAAATTAGCACGAATCAAATTAAAAATAAACAATCTTTCGTCCTGCAACCTGGCTGACCTAAATTTCGCTTGCCAGAAGAAACTGCCAATCTACCATTTTGGTCTTACTTTTCTCTTGTATTCCTAATACAATTGTGACGGCAACCATGACTGCTACTGGTAGCACCGAACCGTCCATCCTACATTCACGGGACCATCCTGAAATCTGGACGAGCAAGACCAGCTTTTCCCAAAGTCCCAAACCGTGCTCGCTGAATATTTACTTCCACTCCCGAAGAGAACTAGCACCCGCAACAACAAAAACTACAACAACCCACAGCGAGCACTGAATTTGTGTAAATATTCATTGAATTACCGAAAAAAAATGTCGTCTAGTCACGGTTTTTCTCTCTCCCTGCGGTCGGGGTGCTATGTGTCAAACTTGGCTTGCAGAAACCATAATTTGGTCGGATTTCCACCATTCCCTTCCCCAGTCAGGAGACGTAACGAACTTTTGGGAATCCCCATTTTCCCACCACCATCATCGTCGTTGTCGCAGTCGCAGTTGCACGGTAATTTTCAATGCACCGGGATTAACGCTTGGTTAGTTAATGAAAAAAAAATTCGGATTCCTATTACCACCCCCATTCTTTCAAAATATAAGCCCCCGTTTGTATATTTACTCAGTATATTGCCCACCAAATCGTGTTTGCTGTGGTGGTTGGTTACTCTGCTCTTGTTCCCGAAACCGACACAACATGTCACCAGCGGAAAAGTCGTCTAGCAAAAGCAGCCAGCGAAACACGCAAACACTTGACGAGCTTTTTCCTCCTTTTGCCGACCAGATGCGGGAGGAAGTTGCCTCTTGGTAACTTATAAGTGAGTGAGTCAAAACGAAAACCCAGGCAAGGCAAAATCCATCTCCTGCAGAACTTGTGAAGGGTTCGTTGACTTCCTTTTCGCTGTATTCGCGTTCTGTAGCGAGCGACACACTCAAAGGGAGCTGCATTCGGTGGCTGGCGGCGGCGGTGGCGGCGTATGAAGAGGAGTAGGTATGTAGTCACTTCTAAAATTAATTTCCGCTCCCGAAAAAAAAATGTGAAAACGCTGGGAAAATCGATTCACCTAGCTGCGGATGGGGATGAACTTGCTTTCCGAAGATGAACGAATTGGAGTTGATTTAGAATTTGCAGAATATCTTGAATGTTGGCAAATACCAAAATTAGGCCTGTGCTGGTTACTCATGGTTACTAATTTACCGAGATTCATTCAACTTCCCTGAACTAACCGAAACGGAATACAGCGTATCCTTTAATATTTGATTTTAAGCTCAATAAAAGTTGATAATTCTACGGAGAACACCGGATTCTGTTTCGTTAATTTATTTTATTCTTTATAAACTTGATAATAATTCAATATGCTTCAACTTCCACCCCATTACGAAGCACATTTAAATGTCCATTCAGCGTAGTTTTTAACCTGACCTACTAGCATACCTTCCATGCCCCACCTGGCAACTACGGGCTGATTGACTCCGTTGATATTTTTATACACCAAATAGTCCATGGATTTCCAGGCTTGCCCCGTACGGTACACATTGAACTCGGATTCAATTTTTATCATGTCACTCTTGTAGCTTACATCCAAGATCCATAGCTGGCTGCTGTCCAGCTTCATGTTTGCGCTGTTGGTGTAGGGAGCTCCCACGAAGCTGAAATCCGTCATTCCTGGCACTGCAGCATTGATGTTGGTCAGAGCGTTTCCTTCAGCGTTGATAATTTTCACCGATGCCATATCGTTCACCAGCTCCAGTCGAAAGCTGGTGCATCCAGTGGAATTAAGAATCACTTCCTTCATGAGTCCTAAGGTGTTGTTGAATTTGGGATGTTTCACCTCAACTTGATTGTTGGTTGCCACAATGCACTGTTTCGAATCCGGGCTTCCCTGATAAATGTTGACATTGTTCAAACACGAGCGGATGTCCTTCAAACTTTTAGGAAAGAAATTGAACGTATCGTTGTACAGTTGCTTTATCGCCTCTGGGACAAGCGGATCGTATTTCAGTTCCGTTCGCTCCATGGACTGCATATCGAGCAGGATCAAGGCTAATACGCGCCCTATTTTCTTCTTAGTTAGCTTCTGGTAGGCTGCAATCTTGTTGTAGTTGTTGGATAAGGCAAACAATTTCAGAAGGTCACGTCCAGTGTCAAACCCATTTATGGCTACTATCGTATTAACGAAATGTTCCATTTGCACTAAAACCATTCGATCAAGTGTATTTTTGATCACAAGAAATTTTTCATTTTTCTTAATGTCCATTGCCCATTTTTGGAAAACACTATTCCAAAGCATACTAAACAACAATTTTTGGACCTCCTCTCTTCTAATGTCCGTGATTTTTGAGCTCGGGTTGAGAGTAGCATTCATTTTCAGAACTTCTGCTTCCAGCGAAATTAAATCATCACTGTCCATACGATTGTTGGTTTCAATAAAATCAAAAATTGTCTTGTAGGCCTCTCCGCGGTCATCGAGATCCGGAATTTCCAAACAAATATCAATCACTGGAAGCAAGTTGCTCTTACTGGTATTTAGAAATTTATGGACCACTTCCATTAACAGCCTGGGCTCTAATTTGTTCACCTTGGCCCTAGCCTTGCTCATCTGCTTCGATTCAAGGTACGTGACACACAGATCCATTTGCACTTTTGCGTACTCTGCAGATATTCCTTTGAGTTCGTGGTGCAGCTTGGTTACGTTTTGTTCCAATTGCACGATATTTCCTTTAAGTTGTAACAGTTTTGCATTCCCGCTGCTTTGTGCATTTTTTTGAAAATTTTCCAGTTCACCGTTCAGCTTCTTCAGTTGATCGTCGTATTCCCTGGCCATCTTGTTAAACTCTTCCATCTTCATATAGCCCTTGTTCATCAGTTTGTACCTCTGCGTTAGCCTTCGCAACTGCATGTGGATGCCATTTAGCATGTCAGTGCATTCAGAATTAGCACTGTCAAACGTTTCTTCTGCATAAATCGGCTTATCCATATGGGTCAAAACATCACTGATCTTTGATAGTTCATTTTCGGACAGTTGACAATTTTCATCGGATTTTGAAGGTGATAAAAGCAGGGACATTACAATAAAACAGAGGACTTTGGTTCTATCCATTGGAATTCGACTTCTAATGCGAAACGGTTGACGTTGATCTGAGAAAAGCAATTGAAAGCCTACAGATGCCTAGTATGTTCTTGTTTGTTCAGGCAAGTACTGGATAAATAAAAATAACAACACTGTGTGGTCCACACAGCTGGTTAATGCGGATTTGAAAGTAAACACAACAGGGTGTTTCCTCGTTCATACACACACAACAAAACTGCAAGATTGTGTTGCATTTTTCATAATGTATTTTAAATTTGAGAGAAAATGCCCTATTGGACTCGGTTGGATTTGACTGGGGGAGAGTGGAATTGCCAACACCCTGTCATTAACATTTCGTGAATTGTCGGCGGGCTATTCTCCCCAATCATTGGGACATTTCCTCGTGTGATGGCCTGTTCTACATCGGGTTGTAGGATTTTATCATTGGAAGGAAATTCTACTGATCCCGCGGATTGCGCGTAAGTGTATCTGCTTACGAGTACACCCTGCGGTTTTGGCCCTTCATACAGTGTTATTTTGAATACAGCAGGTGTAAAACTTGATCAAGTCATACTTGTACGACGATCCACTGTCCAATGGCTGTGCCTTGCAACAATGGTATCCTTTACATGCATACATATTGGACTCGGTTGGATGCTACTTGCTACCAATTTCTAGAGTATTTCACATTTCCTAGATCTAGATTATCTTTGTCTAATCAGTTAGTTTGATACACTCCTCTACGCCTTGTACCGGCCAGATTCGAGCCAAACTGCACATGCATCTTGCTAACCTAACCTCAGCTAGCCGGTGTTGCTTGTTCACTGATTTTTTTTCCTCTGTTCGGGACCTAACACTACTGCGACCAGTAAATTGATCTATTGTAGTATATCCCGTGTCCTTAGTTTAGTGCATGTCGTATTACTCCATCACTATTGAGAAATGATAAAGTATTATTCGATTTTTTACAGTTGCCACTCTTGCTTTTATCGCAAGGATCCGACTCTAATTGGAAGGTCCTGCTATTTATACCCTTCGGAGTGTTGAAACACCCTCCAAAGGCGCGCCCCTTTGTCAGTCAAAATTGGATTCCTTAGCAACAAAATTAAGGTATGACACCGATAATGACCATGCATCAGAACCCTAGTCTTAATCACTTCAAACTAGGGAACAACGAATAGAAGATTAGGAATCACATAGATGAAGACAACTAACTCATTTTTTTCCTTGCTTCAAGATCATCCTCGGTAGACAAAGCCGAGTCTTGTCACTATCAACAAGGCATAAAAAGTAACGAGGACTAAGATGTGTTCCTTGGATTACTGAAAAATCCTGTTCCCCTAGTTTGAAGTAGCAAGGACTAGGAATCGGTGGTAGATCTTACATCCCGTAACGTACCACGAAAAGGTGATCTACCCACGTTACGGGGCTTGTTCACTGATTGTCTATCTGTCAATATTCGCAATACAGTCCAACTGACGACATTCCACGTGCCTTCGTCTCCACACATTTTTTGTACAGCATCTCCCTTCACACTGCCTCAAATCTTTGGCAGTCAAAACTCACGTGTTGCGGTGCTTCCTCCGGTGACCTTTCGTGTCCAAACGATGAAACAACCGTGACCTAAAATGAATGACGTCAGATGGAAGTTTAGCTTTCCATGTTTTCTGTTAACCCAGATTGAGAGATTCCATATTAGTCTAAGGATCCATCTACCGTTCTTTGCCATGTTCTGCTGTCATCTGCTCATCAAATCAGCTCTCACTACCTTACGCATTCCTCTGGTTCCTTTCCCCTTTGTAGAATTCATTGTCTTCCGCCAGATAAGGATGGGGATCATTCCAGCTATGACGCATACTACTTCCAACGACTTGCTTCTGTACGCACTCACAACTCGCATGGCCACTTGATTCCGCTGTAGCCCAGGCTGAACCTCCGTACCTAATCATCGACGAAGATACGCTAGCCAGGAGATGCCTCTTGCTTCTTGGTCACGGCGTAATATCGTAATATCCTCTCCGTTTTAGTTTCAACGACCTCTCAGATCTCTCGACCATTGTACAGATTGCATCCACTGTAGATCTTCCTGGACGGAAAACGAACTGTTGAGGATAATCATTTCTAGTAGTTTTTCAAGTGAATCCAGCATGCATATACACAGAATGCTGGATACCCTGGAGACTTTCCTGGATTTGGTAGCAATACTTATTTCGGTATCTTTTATCTGTCCATCTTTGGCAAGCACAATGATACTAATGCCCAAGGAAGTCGAGAACATTTCCAACCCGAAAGATTTCCTCGACCGAACCGGGAATCGAACTCGCCGGCCTTTACTAACTATCTTGGATTCAAAAATGCGTAGTCGCTATCCAAAGGTTTTCATTTTGAATTCGACACCACCATCTTGGATTCCATAATGGTGGAGGACATCGATTTTTAGCTTCTACTCGAAAATTTTATTCTGTATAAGCCCATATTGTTTGATCATAGATGTGCATTCGTTGACCGAAGGTCACCAGCTTGAATTCGAGTCCATCATCTTGGATTCCAAAATGGCAGTGGCCATCGATAAGTAGCTTCTATTTGTCGTGACCGTTGAGGCCAATATCGCACCATCTTGGATTCCATAATTATGTCCAGGCTTGATAAAACTCCTCACAGAAGATTAGCAAATACTGCTCCCAGTGAGATAAGATAGTGAGCCTTGAGTGAGTGGTGGCATTGTTATAGAAGAAGTAATCTAAAACTCAGCGAGTGAGACGAAGATCGAACTCATGTGAGAGGATGATTTGACGTGCTGTGCAGTCAAGATAACTTATTTGTTCGAGACATTGAACTCAGAGTTCAACCAGCGTGAGAGTAAAGACGTGTTAAAGAGAGCATAACAATGAATGGAAATTAATCCTTCTTCGCATTTTAAGCTTATTACTTATCGCATATTAGCTTATTGCGTGCTCTCAACTTAGTTTCTTAGATGCACTTTCACAGTTATTTATTGAGAGCTTTCGATGCCTGTACCATTTTTGCATTAGTATAATTGTGTGGCAATTACAATCATACTCTATGCCCAGGGAAGTCGAGAAAATTTCCCACCCGAAAAATTCCTAGACCGGACAGGGAATCGAACCCAGCCACCTCCAGCATGGTCTCTGTAGCTGCGCCTTTACCGACTGAGCTAAAGGAGGCATCGGTGGAAAGATTTGTCAGACATTGATTTCAGTTTCTACTCATAGAGTCTATTCCATAGATACCCGCATTGCATGGAATAAGATGGGTATTCGCTGTTTAATAGCCATCATTTTGAATTTGAACCACAGCATTTTAACCAACCATTGGAAATTTAATTCTTAATCATCCACCATCGGGAGGGACTTGGTCACCGGAACAACTTAGGTGTAGACAGCAATATTCTATATGGACAGGCTCTATGGCATATGACCAGAGGCACCGACTAGTCTTTCAATGCAACGCAGGCTGCTGACCAAATATTTAAAATCTTAGCATTTCTGCTTTCCGTACCTTAATAAATAAATAAATTTAATTACTGTCAAAAACAAATATTATAACTAAAATTTTCGTAATTTGTAAATTGCTTTCAATACTGCTCAAAGTATTTAAATTCAAATTATTAATAAATAGCCTGCAAAACGATATAGTGGTTCTTAGAATTGCGTAAAAATGGGTAGTTTTGTTCCTTATCGCAAAATATTCGACCCGTATTTTTTACTGCATCATTAGAGTGACCATTTTCATGTTAGGGTGATCTAAAAATCGATTTTTTTTTCAAAAATGGATTTTTTCAAACTAGGAACTGCGCGCCCCTTGGCATATAAGGAAGTTCATATGTACACTAGCACCACGTAGTGAGAGAATTGTGAACTTATCTGACGACCATTCGGTCACATGGACAATATTTCCAAAGACAGCATGGTCATGATCACGAGATATTCAATGAGCAAATTTCACGCCAACTCTACTAGTGGTTGAGGCAATCCTTTTAAATTCCAATGAAAGTTTGTGGATGGGCTATAGACTCTTTTGAACCATTCAAATCTCCAGGTTTGGATGGAATTTATCCAATTTTAATTCAAAAGTGTAAAACAGTATTGATTCCGGCC